CGTATATTCTGGACAATTCATTCATTTGAGTACATAAATAAATAATCAACAGACTGCCTAAACGGATCACACAGAGACACACACACTCACACACACTGTGTGTGTGTGTGTGTGTGTGTGTGTGTGTGTGTGTGTGTGTGTGTGTGTGTGTGTGTGTGTGTGTGTGTGTGTGTGTGTGTGTGTGTGTGTGTGTGTGTGTGTGTGTGTGTGTGTGTGTGTGTGTGTGTGTGTGTGTGTTGTGTGTGTGTGTGTGTGTGTGTGTGTGTGTGTGTGTGTGTGTGTGTGTGTGTGTGTGTGTGTGTGTGTGTGTGTGTGTGTGTGTGTGTGTGTGTGTGTGTGTGTGTATAAAGGGCGGATCCAGAGGGAGAATGAGGCCGTGCCCCCCCCCCCCCCCTGGGCCCATAGGCTCCGAAGAGGCCATAGACGGGCGAACAGTCGCAGTATTTTTTTTTTTAACACAAAACGCAACAAAACTGGACATTTCTGGGCTTCAAGGCAGCCAAGAACAGTCGCAATCAAATGTAAAGGGCCCTCGAGTGGACAAAGATAATGATTCACAGACTGAGAGGGTGGTGATTAGGAGTCTTTAAACGCTATCTAGAGACACCATACTGCTTCCGAGGACCTATATGTCCACTTGTAGAGGCAGCCCGATCGTTGAAGAGCCTTTTACTTGATCCTTGATTTTTTGCGTTTGCTCGGAGGGCCCTACGCTGTTGCTGGTCCTTCCTGCTAGCCGGGTTACTCCTGTCAATCACGGATCTTCCACGGATTCTTCCCATTCGCCCGATAGGCTCTTTTCGCTGGAGGCCCCACATGTTAATCTGCCGTGGTATTCTCGGTCGCTCAGGGGCCGTTCACTTTGGTCTCGGTTTACCCGCCGACACACTTGCAAAAAGGTCATGAGCCTACTACGTTGATCTAGGGCCCATCCAATTCTTTGTCACTTGCTTAAGGCCTTACAATCTTGTCGGGGGGGGGGCATCTGTCGACCCGTTTGGGCACACTTTCGGGGGCTCTCCAAATTGGGTCTTGGGTACTTCCTACTTGAATGGAGGCCCCTACGCTCTTGTCGGGAGCGCTATCTAATAACCTGCTTTGGCACACTCGATCGTTCGCAGGCCCTCCTAATTGTGTCGTGGGTATTTCTTGCTTGAATGGAGGGCCCTGAACTGTTGTGGGGGGGGGGACCACCTGCTAGCTTATTCGGTCACACTCGATCGTTCGGGGGCTCTCTACGCTGGGTCTTGGATACTTTTCATTCCTATGGAAAGCCCTACACCCCCGTCGGGGCCCCTCCTGACAACCTGCTCAGGCGCGATCGTTCGGAGGCCATCCACACATGAATAAAATATCTGCTTGGGCACACTCTATCATCCCAGAGCCCTCCACATTGTGTGTTGGGTACTTCTTGCCTGAATAGATGGCCCTATGCTCTTGTCGGTGCCCTATCTATTAAGCTTCTCGAGCCAGTGGCGGATTCAGGTGGGGGGCACAAGACTAAGCTCTCCTTGTGTCCCGAGGGAACCCATAGGCTCCGAAGTGCCCGTAACCGGCCGAACGAACGCAGTTCTTTTGAAACACAAAACACAACAAAATTGGACGTCTTTGAGCCTCCAGACAGCCAGGAACAGTTCAAGCGAAAGTGAAGAGCCAGTGAGCAGACAAAATTGATTCTTCGCTGATCTGGATGGTGGATGATTGGGGGAAATTTTGAAGCTCATCATGTGGTTCAGACGCGTTGCGTTGCTGCTGGAGCGCTATATGTCCACTTCCCGGGTCAATCCTACCACTGAGAAGCCTTCCACGCTGCACTGATCCCTTTGCATTCACGCACGCATCCACGCATCCTTGCACGCATCCCTTGATCCCTTTTGTCGTAAGATCCTACGCTGCTGCTGTGGCACCATCTCCTGAGATGCCTGGGCACTCTTGGTCGGTCGGGGACCCTCCACGGATTCTTCCCATTCGCCCGAAGCGCTCCATACGCTTTTGCCGGGACCATGTGCCGGAATACACTCATTTATTCTGGGCTGCTTCATATTGGTCTCGGGTTCCTCCTTCTCGCTCGGAGGATTTTGTGCTGTTACTGGAGCCACGTGAAGTAAGGTTCCAAGCCACTCTATGCTCAGGGGCCCTCTGGATTGCTGTAAGGCTCTTTCCCTTTGATCTCACATGCGGAGGACCCCTCACTCCTATCGGGGCTCGTTCAGTTAACCTGTCCGGGCACTCCTGATCTCACAGGGCATATATCCATGTACACTGGTCTTGAGTACTTTCCCCTTGCTCAGAGAGCCCTGCGCTCTGGCCGGTGGTCCATATGTTTGCCTACCGGGGCAATCTCGATCGTCCAGGAGCCAACCATGTTGGCCTTGGAGACTTAGAGCAGCAGTTGGATATGCACCGATTAATTTTTACGCACTATTGTGGGACATAATTTTACGGGCCGCGGGCGTCGTATTGCATCATTTCCGTTGGTAATTAATTTGTGACACCATGACATTTGGTAATATACTCGTACATCACGTTAACATATCTTGAATGTTAAGACTTTTCGTAGTTCTTCATAACAGACAAAGCAGACTACATTAGTCATCTGCCATCAGCTGATCCCATCCACCAGCCGCTTAGCCGTAAGGAAGCTAGGACTCAGTTCGTGCTTGATTTTGATGGCAGTTAGCAGAAAACCCCGTTCTATTTTGCCCGTTCCCGTTCAGTTTTCCCGTTCAGTTTTCTAGGGCCACGCACATTACGATGGGCTCCGTAAACAAAACAGCAAACCAAGAATCTTAATATTCACTGGCTGCAATGGAATGAGTTCTTTTTTTTGGGGGGGGGGCTCAAAACTCAAGGCGTTCCGCAACGTTGGTGCCCCTGTCCCTGACGAAATCCTTGATCCACCCCTGTACAGATCCATATATATATATATATATATATATATATATATATATATATATATCTCTCTCTCTCTCTCTCTCTCTCTTCTCCTCTCTCCTCTTCTCTCTCTCTCTCCTCTTCTCTCTCTCTCTCTTCTCTCTCTCTCTCTCTCTCTCTCTCTCTCTCTCTCTCTCTCTCTTTTGCCATCTTTTTCCCAAATAACTTGCCTAAAAATGGCAGGATTCATCATAATTTGGAGAAAATAAATAAGCTCCATACATGTGAGTGCGTGGTACGCATAGTTTTCTAGGGCCACGCACATTACATTATATATATATATATATATATATATATATATATATATGTGTGTGTGTGTGTGTGTATATGTATATATACGGATCTATACAGGGGTGGATCAAGGATTTCGTCAGGGGACAGGGGTACCGACGTTGCGGAACGCCTTGAGTTTTGAGTTTATATGCATATATATATATATATATATATATATATATATATATATATATATATATATATATAGCTGCATAGATGTTAGGATATCTAGTGAATGACCAGAAGAAAAGTGGATGAAATCCGATAAAATTTTCGCATCGGTTCCCTTTGGATGACTTTCACGACTTTGGCCCGTTTTGGCCATTTTGAGAAAGCGACGCCGTTGGTATGTACTGCGTTCTGTGCAGCGTTCAGCAACGTGATCCATAATGAAGTAACTATGTAATTATATTTTTCCAGAGCATCGAGGGGACGCTGGTCGCCTCACTTACCATTTGAGCATTCTGCAGCCACTCCAGTCGCCGTCCATCGGAGAACACTATGCATGGGATCAGGCCAAGGTACATACCTGAAATGTTTCGATTCTCGTCCCAGTTGTCACTGTTTGTTTGGCCCACAGGTGGCCATTACTTCACGCATGCAGCGGGACCACCAGCAAAGTGACCGGCATGCGCTCGGTGGCTCGCCGGGACTGGTGTGATTACTGCTCCGTCCCAATCAACATAGCTCGGCCCATGTGGTGCGGTGAACAATTCATCTGGACTAGGCAACACCATTGCTGACATAGTAGAATGTCAGGGCAGCAGACAAACAACGTAGGCTCCAGTCGATTTCAATTTGCCAGCGTTCAGGTGTATTGGTGCACCCGTCAAGATAAGGGTACCGGGAACGCTAACTTTCCGGGGCTAGGAGCGTGCGACAATTCAAGCGATCGAAGGATGATTAGTATTTCGCTAAATGGCCCATTTCGATCAAAGTAATGGGTCGTTGGACGCGACAGTTCAGTCGTGCACTAATAAAATCCAAATTATCATAAAAATGGTCGCTGTTGCTGGGCTTGGGTGTCGATGAAAATTCACTTAAAAGGGTTTACGCCCTGGAAAATTGTTCTATTTCCATAGCAGCCTGCACTGGAGTGGACGCCCGTTACTTTATTACAGTCCAGTGGTAAAAATGTGGTTTGGGGAATAATTAGTTAAATGACACTGAAATGATCGGTAAGTTTTTAACGCGCGATAGTGCAGATGAAGTACCATGTGACTAAGTGCAGATAAGTACGGAACCCGTGGCGAGCAGCGCCAAGATCCGAGGTGCAAACGGGTGAGATGCATCTGGACACCCCACGCGTTCACCGCTGGGTAAGACGGCGCTCGTGAAGGCATTAACAGATCCTCACAACTGCCAAACAAAGGTAGGCACACATTTCGTGGCATTTGCTGCTAATCAAGCTCAGATAACTAGGCTTCCGTAATCCTTTACGAAGGGCGTGAGTAAGCGATGACAAAAGACTCTAACCGATCAACAACGCCAGCCACATCGACTCCTGGCCCGCTGACCCCCGCGTAACAGACCACTATAGCTCCCGCTCCGGGACGCGAACAACAGACGCCTGCGACGAATAATAACCCCTGCTTGCACTAGGCGAGCGACCGGGACGGGCGCCACGCGCGGGCACCGTTTTGAGCGAGGCTGGCACGCTACTTTGTGTCATCGAGGCAGAGGGGGCGTGCTCTTCAACCGCGATACATCAGTTACATCGAGCCTTACCTTGGCCGGTCCGTCACCCGCTCTCAGGACGACTGCCACGGCTCAGGACTGATCCAAACAGATGATTTCGGGGTATCTCTTTATTTTACAATCGAAAAATGCATTACCCACTAAGGCCATCAGGCCTTCTCGACAACATCACGGGCATCGTCTCTGGTCGTGCGATGACTGTTGGCTTGCAATACACACAATGAGTCTGGAGGCGAAGGCGTTTCAATTCGTCCCGTCACGATCGCCCGCTCCATCGACCGGCACGCTCGGTGCGTCTGGCATTGATTCACCCGTTCATTAGCACTCCATCCACTCTCTCGCCGCTCGCGCACACCTAACTCAGCAGCGGCTACTCCCAGCCGTCGTTATTGTACAGTATCCGGAAGCGGTCTTCAACGCGCACGTGGTGCAGCGGTTTGGTTCTTCCCTTGAGCACCATGGATGACTCGAGCATCTTCTGCTTCAGCCAGGCCTCGTGCTTGCCCAGCGCCGCACCTACCCCGGCCGACTGTTCCTGTGCATCGCACCACAAATGGCCGTTGTCAAGATCACGATGTGTTAACAAATGCGTGCACATGGTATTACGTGGTAAAAATTGTCCCGATGACGACAATCAAACGACCACGCACAAAACAAAACACGCTCGCGAAAAGAAAAGGGAGTTATGCAAGTGGTCACCATAGATTGCTCTTCGTTGTCCCTGGGAAGCCAAACCCTCGAGAACTATTTGACTGAAACCCAAGACTGTGAGACATACAACAGGTATCCAACGGCTGGGACAACGTGCCCGTGTGCTGGCGTGGCCCAGATATAGCAAAGAGCTAAGGAAACACCGAATGTTATTATCCCCACTCCGCTAGGATTATTTCTGTTCAGCTGACGCAAGCTGGATCAGTGTATGCCATGTGCGAAGTCTTATACGATTAGGGATGAATGTACATGGGGACACTTATCCTGTCTGTCTAGGACACCAATACACGGCGAAGCAGGAGCTACTGACCTGGGTGAGGTATGGATTTCTCAACAGCAGCATGTTTCTATCTTCAACTTCCAGACGACGGCGCATCCGGTCCAAATGAGCCTCCTGAACACGGTGCGGTAGACGATCTTTCCTGAAGAAGACAATGCAAAGATTGTCACATTACCACACCAATAGAAGGTGAATAATCCCCAGGGACGAAGTGAACGATATCCAGCACATTCTAAGCAACGTGAATGCACATATTTTATAGCTCTGACTGCTGTGAGGAAGAACAATGATCATGATGCAGCACGCACCAGACTTGCTTTCTGCGTTGCCATCACCCCAATGGGCATCACAATCAAACCAAATTTGCAATGTGCCAACACCTCTGTCCAGGACAGAACAGCAATTAGATGACTCACCCTGTCCAGATGTTCCCATTGGGCATCTTCTTTCTTAGCAAAGCCAAAGCAAGCCTCATCGTCTTAGCCAATGCGCAAAAAAGCGCAGAACAGGAAGTGCTGCTTCACTGAAATGACAGAAGGATGATGCATAAGCAAACCAAGGGCAGCATATGAGGGGGAGGGGGCAGCAGCCACCCACATATTCTTTTCAAAACGCTTCATCAGGCTTAAAGTGTTAAGTGTAAAACAATGGGGAGGAGAAATACACCTTCTCCTATCCCAGCCGCAGAAAGTCAGGTGTAAGTGGTAAACTAGCAACAACAACAGAAGCCCATCGTTGTAACTGGGCATGAGTTGTTTCTACACTACTGTAAGCTGGAATGAATTTTAAGCTTAAGGATTATACCACCAGACTGTGAAAGTTTGTATGGCACAAGAGATCTGAGAGCAAGGAGGCACACAATACTAAGCAACAACTTTGGTGTCAAAGCTGCATACATGGCTGCTTAAAAGCAAACTATGTTCATCTGGAAAATCGTGCATCATTGTATTTATGGTAGCAGGTCAACACCATCTGGTGGTTTGTCACAGACTTCATAGTAGATGCTATTCAGACAGTCAAAATTGAAATTATTTATTACAAGTTTGACCTTTCAACTCAATTGTTCCTCAGTGAATGCAAAATAAACTTGATTGGCTGGAAACATATGCTCCACATCCTTGCACCAGGGGCCTAACCAGTATCTTGGTGCGTGTGTGGGGGAGGGAGGGGGGGGGGGGCATAGTGCTTAATGAAGCTGGTGAAAAGCTTCAAAATAAATGTAAATGACCCATGACCCACTCTATTTCCAATGGGTACACATTCTTGTGGCACCTTTGATCTATCTTTGGCAATGGGCTGATTAAGGGTTCTGGTGCTTTAAATACTAAGGAGAGCCCTTACCTTCCCAGAATAAGGGGATCCACAGGTGCAGAACAGAGGGCACATGCCTTTCCTGGTTGGGGCTTGTGGGCTGTGATGCTCTGGTCAGGGGTGCTTATCAGCTACCATGTGCCATCTTGCTGCCTACCACACTATCTTGCTACCATTTGGTGCCACATGAGCTGAGGCTATTTAGGGTCCCTGCAGCTATCATAACAGGTGTTCAGCTTATGCAGACCCTGACACTGATGGAGGGGGAAATGTTTATTACTTGGGGCCTCCTGTCTGATGGGGGGGTCTTCCATTGTTTCATTGTGAACCCCTTCATTGACATTTATCATGCATCTTTTCACTGCCAGAAGGCCTGACCAGAAGGCCAGAAGGCCATGTACAATGTCTTCTGAGTTCTGACATTTTGAATCCTATCCCTATTCACAAAATGGACTGGCCTACCCAGACCCTTAGCTTACATAGGTCATCCCATCAGGCAGTTTGGACCCACTGATGACACAAGGCCCTCATTGCATGAAAGGCCTGACCAATGCAAGATGTCTTCTGTCTGATATTTGTGGGTTTCAGCCTTGTCTCTGCTTGGGAATAAAGCCCCAGGACAACACTGGGTCAAATCTTCACAATCAGTCCAGTCACCTCTGACCAACATAGAGGCCCCCATTGTCCCAGCGGCCCCTGAATAGTGCAGGAGTATCTCAACTGGTTTGCAAGATGGAGACCCTATAATATGACCTCAGACCAGTCCTCAGGGTGCTTGACCATTGGTCCAGAGGGGACCAAGGGACCCCCTGGGACCTATAAGCCCAGTGGGTCCCAATAAATTCTCTTCCTGGGTGAGCACATGACTTCCTGTGCCCTTGGCCTGCATCTGTCTTTCGCCTTCTGGCAATGGGGGCTGCAGCACGAATATACCACCGTGTTGCTCTCATTCAGTGACATATTTGAAGATGGGTGGAAGGATGCAGATACCCTCTTTATGAAAAAGATGCATGCAAAAAGCTGGTGATCAGAATTTAGACTGCTTATAGGACATCAATCACAACACTTGGATCAACACCCCTTCATACCAAACTACTGCACATATAACTGGATGCATTGCCCAAACACCACACTAACTTGCATTTTATGATAATTTCCACAGATTCAACTAAAGTAGAATCTTTCCATGTAAACATATCCTTTTAAATATCCAACAAAATTGCTAAATTCCTTTAACAAAGCTACCCAAGGGTCATCATGTGCTGCATTAGTGTCAGTATTGAGCACAGTGGTGCAAAGGTTAGTTTTACCTCAGAAGATAAATATCAGCTTGCTTCTACATAAAATACAAAGACAACCCAAATGGTTGCCAAGGCACACTGTATTATGATGCATTTAACCCATAGCTCACTTGGCTGTCACTAACTGTAACCTTGAGGAAGGGTGAAGGTGTGATGATGTGAGCAACAGTTCTTCAAATACATTCTGGGCAACCAATAGAGAAAAACACCCAGACCAATTATCTGAAAAGTAAAAGCCCAGCACAGTTTGTGACCAAAAGGCTTCCTCCACTACAAGATATCCTCAAACTCTTCACATTCCATCAATAAGTTTGTGAATTGTCTTACCATGAATGATTTTGTCTGTAGCTCACAGTGTACACTTTCATATGCACAGACAGTAAATAAACATTGGACAACATTTAAACAATGACACTTCAATGAAAGATCCACAAGAAAAAATTGATAAAAGGTCTTTCTGCAGTACAAGGTAGCTGTAGAGGCAAGTTGTTCACTTGGACATGGAAGTGGTGCATCAGCAACCATGGCCATTATCAAATTCAGACTTTCAGACCAGGGAGCCCAACACAAAAGCAAAGAATTAAAACCTAACTGATGTTGTACTGCAAAAAATCACTACATATGAGTCCATCAGCAAAACCACCTATTTTCAAAGTGTCCCACTGAAGGCTGTGAATTTCAAGAAGTATCTAGACACCAATGACTTAGAATCTAACCCCTTCACACTAATAAGTAAAATCTCACATAGCATTAAAACTTACGTATGCAATACCTGTGCAAACAGCAGCCCACTACTACCTTTACCAACGCACTCAACGCACATTAAACAAACTTTGCACACTATCAGAAAAAGCGACATATATTGTATCAGGATGCAGGTATATCGCAACATCTGCGCCATTCACCCTACGTAAAATGAGCACCAAATTTAGGAAGCCCTCTGAACTAGGCAGTTTTTTCTCATTGTTCTGAAGTGATCTCTGAGAATCTCAAAGATATTTGTCATTTTGTGTCTTTAAACATAACTATAAATTTAACCCAATTAGAAAATATTATGAGTGCTACTGTGTTCTGTCGTACACTAAGTTTCAGGATGTTTTCACTTCAACGTTTTTCTTTGTTCTTTCCTAACTATCCATACTGGGAGGTGCCATATCCCTCACCTTTCTTACCGCGGGTATGACGAAAGTGTCGCGTTTTATTTGGTATAGCATGATACAGTGAAGGGCACCTTACGTTGTGTTGGGCTGCTTTTTGCCCGTATTAAAACAAGGTGATTGAGTTTTTGATTTAAAATTGGCTTAAAAATTCGGGACTAGCCTGAGGTTTTCAGATTTCACCATGCACCATGAGCTAAGCTTGGTGTAGGTTACTATCGCGCCTATCTGTTGATCTGTCATCAGCCTTATTCCACTCATACAGAGATGCTTATGTGCAGAAGTACACACATATTGTACACACTACTAGATAGCCTAGCTGGAAAAAGGGCCACAGCTTTTGGAGTCCCACATTTATGCAGCCAAACTTTTTTGACATTGTAAAACCTCAAATGGTACAAAGCAAAGCTGATTTATTGTAGCTCTGACACACAAGCCAGTCTACAAAAATCCATTCACTGCACCAGGTGCCTTTCTGAAAGCAGTCTGCTGAAGCCCACATTGTTGTGCATCAAACTCAGCCAGACCAAAGCTGATATGAATTTCACATTATTTCATGAAAAATAATTTGGGAAATATGGCCTGCAACTGCCCTTGAAACATCACACATTGCTGTGTACATGGGCTCTCTTTATCTTAACATTTGTGCTGGCTGTTTACCAAACTGAGTGCTCATGCTTACAACATTGTATGCCAACATATTTGCTGCAATTTTCTGCTAAGCCAGGCATGCTCAGTATAACGTGTATTTTTTGCAGTCTGGCACATAGATGCAACTAAACAATTATATATGTGTATATACATGTAACCACCATGGCACATTGTGCCTTCTTACACTGGTGCGGATTATATCACCTTAACCAGTGGGCAAACACCCATGCTAATGTGTGCTAAGAGTATAGTTGTATTAATAGGTACTGATTTTATCATTTTAGTGAAGCACTGGTAATATTGATGTAAACAACTTTGAAAAAGATGGTAGACAATATTTTTTAAGATCTTGCCATAGAATGGGCATGTTACAATTAAAAGTTAGGCTTGAAATGCACAATGTTCTGATCTTTTCTAGACTATGGCCTCCAGCCTCAGTGTAGGTCTTGCACTCAGGGTTGGGTAACACAGCATGCTGTGTTTACCTGTAGCTGATTTATGTACTGCTTGTTACAAGGAAAACCTGAGTGTTTTGTTACAACTGAGTAGAAAAGTCAGGAAAGTGTGCAGGAAGAGCAGTTTTCAGTTTAAGTTATGTGTGATAACTTCTATGGTGTTCTTAGAATATGACCTTATGCTTCATCTCAACCCATGATGTTTTTATTTTCCCACAGTTTTGTAGCAACTCTCCAAGCATGACTGATGTCACTGCAGACAACTTTGATGAGCTATGGCCACACATCCAGAGGAACATTGATCAAGCGGTCCTTGTGGGGATTGACTCAGAATTCTCTGGAATAGTTGCATCACCAAAGCTGAAGAACAGGTAACATTCATCACACATTAGTTAGCATCATATTGGCAAAAGAGTTTCAGTCATTCCCGTTACATGTGGAAAGGGTGTTACATATAATTGGTGTTTGTAATAATCGTATGGTGCAAAGATTGTTGCCTGTCATACCTCAGCAGGCATCTTCATTATTTTGTCATTAACACTGATCAGTTATCATTCTTGAGAATGGAAAGACATCAGATGACCCACAACCAGGATGTGTGCCAGGACCTGAATCATCTTGGTTTCAGCCTTTTTGACACCATGCCAGAGCGGTACACGCTGCAGCGTCAGAACATCTCGCCATTCACCATCACCCAGTTCGGCCTGACGCTGTTCGTGCGCGCGACCGAGCCGAACGCGTACGTGGCGCACCCGTACAACTTCTACCTGTGTCCGCCGTCGTTCGGCCGGCTCGACCCTCGCTTCAGCTGCCAGGCGTCCAGCCTGCAGTTCCTGCGACGCTACGGGTTCGATTTTAACAAGGTCAGCGCTGCTTAGGTATGCATGTATAGAAGCGTCTCACTCACCAGTCCTTCAGCCTAGGTGAGGAGAGTCCCGGCATGGTCGCTACATAATAGTGGTGCCCAAAGAAGCCGTTATGTGATGCGTAGCATGCCGGTCAGTTGACGCTACGCTGATTTCCCTCGACACAAGCGGCGCTAGGGATCGTGGCGGGAATGGCTTTAGCCGCTGGGATAGCCTTCGCGTGCCATGCGTCGTGTAATCAGCCGAATACTGGCGCGGCGCTATCGAACCTAGTAACATTTATCCAGTCTCGTGCTCAGTCCATGTAGGGGAAGAAAGAACCACCTTCCCCCGGCGCTGACTTACCTCGTTTGCAGTGCGCAGAGGCGCTGAGCGCTGAGCGTACACCCACAGGCTGCTGCCAACGTAATAGCTCGCAGCAGAGGGACGCTGCCAGCGCGCTCCCCGCTACTTTCGTCTTCCCGATGTACTTCACAAATTAGTTATCAAACGTGTAAAAATGATATTGTTGCTCGATGCCCTGGAATTACTCACCAACGGAATGTTTTCCGAGGGATTTTGCGAGCCGCTTGTCCGCTCAGCTGGCCCAATGCTGGTTCCGTTCCCGCACCGGCCTCGCTGGGCGCTCCTTTGCGGATAGACTGCTGGCAAGAAGCTTGTGTACGGAAATGTCAGCGGCAATTGTGAGGTGCAGCAGGACATTGGATAACTTCTACAGTGTCTTTCAACGCTGCGGACGGCTTATATTGGAATAATCCGTTCCCTGCAAACCGGAGACTCATGAAATGTTACACTTACCCTCGCGCTGTCACACCTGCTTACGATATGACCGCTGTTTCTGCCGTCTAATGCAGGGTGAAGCCCGGAACGTATGCCTCAGAATTGTAGTGCCATGGCTCCGCAGGTCGGTATATAGCTCGGTGTTCGTTTCCCGACCAATGCCATTATTTTATTGGGTAAGTGCATAGACAAGGGCGTTCATCCAACATTTTTGAGTTCATAGGCGTTTTAATTGCTTGTTTGTCGTGCTCTATTTCATCGCAAAGGTAGAACTTTGAGAATTTACCAAATGTTTGGGTATTGTGCATCTAAATCCATCCCCGAGCCCCTCGCCGACGGATGTGTGAAATAATGCCGACGGGTGTGACCGATGTCCGCCGGCCAGTTTGTAAGGGCACCGCTTTATGAACTTCCTTACAATTGGCGGCGTAAAAGCGGGGTGGAAGGATCAGGAGTGACTGAAAGAAGCATGCGCCTGATTTCAGTTCATCTATGGAGGTATACCATTCCTGCACGCCGAAGATGAGGCCATGCTGAAGGCCGACATTAAAGACCGCAGCATGTGGAGTGTTAAAGACAGAGTCAATGTGGACGAACGCTTCATCCAGGTGGGCACGCAGCTTAACAACTAGCACATCCTTTAGCTTCATATATGCTTCGCTGGATTGCTCTGTGCTCACCAAATGAACGGCTATCATGATAGCACAACATGCTGACCTCTGCCGGCGGTATGCATGTGATTTACGGCTGTTTTTTGTTTGTTATGGCGTTTTCTTTCCTGTCACCTTCACCGGTCAATGCGACGACAGCCTCTCAGACTGTGCGTTGCCGCTGTGGTGTCGTGCGCTGCTCGCCATGACGGTCTCACGTGTGGAGTTGTCTCGGCCTCGGCCCGCCCTCCGAATTTTATTGTACGCGCTCTTTGCAAAGACCCGTTACAACACCGCGCCGTCTTCTATCGGGCAGGAGCGCTGCTCGGCCGTCTCCCACTGGCTGTCGGACGCCTCGCCGGACGCGCCGGCCGCCTGGAGTGAGGAGGTGCGCGAACTCTCGCTGCGCTACCTGCTGCAGAAGGAGCTCCGCCGCCGGTTCGCCGACGTCTGGACCTCCTCACATGGCAGCCAGGTGCGCCGGTCGCGCCGAGGCGCAGCTGGCGTTGGAGAAGTGCGCCCCACTTCTCCGAAGCGGGTGCTTCGTGACGCGGTCGTGAACCTGATCCGGCCGAATATTCATCATGCTGTCTACGCCATCGTTTGTCTTAACTTTTGCTTGGCGTATCACCTGCTGCCCGTCGTTTCTCGTAATTTTGAGACGAGAAAATTACAGAATAGCTTTTTTTATAAAGAACTACTCCTAAAGAGCTATACAAATCGCCGAGTTACGCCCAAATCCAAAAATGCATTTAAGCGCCGGCTAGTGCATTCAGCCAACGCAGAAAGATGGCGCCTCTGTCTATAGCGCCTATCGGGATGGAGCCTCCGATGTCATCTGAATGGAACAATTTCCGAAACAAATAACGACGGGTTCATGCAAGGATGGTAATCACACACGTAATCATACAATCACAACAAATCCAAAACAACGCCTTGAAGCTTTGTGCGTGTCAGCTGAGCATGTTGTCGTTCAGAAGCGAATATTTAAAGTCCGGCATAATTCGGGTAGGTTCTCTGATTCCAGCGCCCTGCTATACACATAACCCGGTCTCACGCTAACGACGCTTTGCAAAACCTATGCAACTCATGCTTCATGGCATTCACAATTACTGGAATAACACTCAGGCCCAGGTAATGCCCAGCTGCACGTTCGTCCCTCCCACATACCAACGCACCTAAGCCCCCGGCCCTTCCCAGCTGGCAGTGTGCCACTGACCGTATCTCGTCCCCTCCCCCAGGTGCTGGTGACCCGAGTGACCCCGGCCATGCGCTGCGACCTGGAGGCCACGGACGACCTTGACCAGTGGCTGGTGACGTCACTGGTGGGCTTCACGCGCGTGATGCGCCACCTGCGCGTGCGCCAGAAGCCGATGGTCGGCCACAACTGCATGCTGGACCTGATGCTGATCCACCACCTCTTCATCGGGCCGCTGCCCAGTGAGTGCCGCGGCAGAGGGGCACCGTCCGAGTGTCCGCTGTGTCTCTTCCCTGTGAGTGTCTCCGAGGTTGGTCAGGCCTGACTCACGAGCTCCTCTTGAAGGCCCTCACTGGTTAGTATGGCAGAGAGAGAGAGGCCAGACCAGGTCCCCCATCAATGAGCTGTTATGTGTTGAGCCGCATGAAGTTGGTATGGACTACCTGCGTGAAGCTTGTATAGACTGCAATCTCATATGAAGATTTCTAAGGGAGCCATGCACGATTGGAGAACGTCACTATCATAAAGAGACCGTAAGGAATGGTTAAATTTATCTTCGGACTTTTGAATTGTTTGCGTCATTCTTATGACTACTGCACTGTGTGTAATTATATAATGCAGTTATTAACCGACGCAGCGGCCTGAGCCGTTGCGCCTTTGGAGTAGGTGTCTCTTTACCTCTGAAGTGTGTTTTGGCCGTCGAAGTCCGGATATTGTGCTGGCGACAGGTGCGGATATCGATCCGCAGTTCTGACCACCCTGGTGGAAAGGTTCTCTGTGTGGACTATTTCCTGTGGCATGACGCATGTCGAGTTCGGCATTTTTCTGCCGCGATATAGCACATTTGCGACCGTTTTCAGAGGAATATCATCGATTCAAGGCGGAAATTCACAGCTGGTTCCCAGAAGTATACGACACAAGGCACATTGTTCACTCCGTCAAAGATATGTGTTCGGAAGAAGGTGAGGCAAGGCATTGGTATGCTTCCAATGTGTGGACGTCTATGAACTCCCGTTTTGTGCTCTGGCCTAGTAGTCTTGAAGAACTCACTATCGAGATCATCCGGTAGCTTGTGCGGTGTGACATGAATATAGATTTTTGGCTCGTCGTTGTTTTCGGATTCTGCCCAAGAACAATGTTACACTAATATAAGTTGCTTAGCTAAAATGAGAAAATGAGGGTGCTGAGATGTATTGGGCTCATATTATTCCACGCCAATAATCATAGGAATGTTAACATTTTTCAGGACCCTTCTGTTTCCGTCGAGCAAACGCTCTTGAGCCGGCTTGTCCTGAACGATCGAGGACTGTCAGCGTTTCCTCTTGTAACTTGTGTATGCATGGAACTTGACCTGTGATTTTCTGGACCTGTGATTGACTTGACCTGTTGACTTGACCTGTGCACCAGCGACGTCCCTGATGCGAGGCCGGGACGTTACCTGGCTACGCCGACAAAACTTGTGTTTTGAATATGTGGTTTGATTCAGTAGTACGGTCTGGCCTGATCTGTTTGTCGGCTTTCGTCCTGAGCCCGTCCTCGCACCTGACACTACTGGTCCGACCTGATTCGTCATTCGACATCCCACCTGCTCGGCTGCGGTGGCCGCACCTCGGCCGACCACCGCCTGGCGTCGTGAATGCCCGATCTCAGTTCGCCGACCTGACCTGACGTGACCTGGTCCTCCGGCGGCAGTGAGCGCGCTGCTGGACACCTCCAGCCTGCTGTCGCTGCACCGGAGCCTGGGCTCGCGGGCGCTCCTAGCCGCCGTTCTGCACACGCCCGCCATCTGGCTGACGGACGCCGCCTCCCGATACAGTCAGTCGCAGGCCGAGCTGTCACCAGACCCTCCGTGGTGCAACGGCTGAGCTGTCACCAGACCCTCCGTGGCGCAGTGGCCGAGCTGTCACCAAACTCTCCGTGGTGCAATGGCCGAGCTGTAACCAGACCCTCCGTAGCGCAGTGGCCGAGCTGTCACCAAACTCTCCGTGGTGCAACGGCTGAGCTGTCACCAGACTCTCCGTGGTGCAATGGCCGAGCTGTCACCAGACCCTCCGTGGTGCAGTGGCCGAGCTGTCGCCAGACCCTCCGTGGTGCAGTGGCCGAGCTGCCACCAGACCCTCCGTGGTGCAATGGCCGAGCTGTCACCAGACTCTCCGTGGTGCAGTGGCGTGCAAACGGGCTCCCGTCAATGAAAAACGCTGTGTGTCGGTTCAGTAATCAATTCGGTTTCACCGTGACAATGGTGGGACTCAATATGCCTTCAGGGTTAAGTCAAGACATGGCTCCAATGATGAAAAACGGAAGCACGCACTCAAACGGGTTAGCTGCGCGCCCTTGACTGATGTTTCCTTAGTTCGCTGTCATGAGACAGGCATTCAACAACGTCTGCGTTGCCGCGGCCCGCACACCAGCACGATGTGTGACGTCTTGTTTCGTCAGCTGCTGTTGTCCCCACTCGTACCCGGGCTGTGTGAGCAGCCCCGGCCGCTCCAGCGGGCTTTGTCGGCCTGCGGCGTTGGCCGGTCTGCTGCCCGCCTGACCTGACCTCGGCCGCTCCGCCCCCGCCCGTAGAGAAGGAGGCGGCCCACGAGGCTGGCTACGACGCGTTCGCTGCCGGCTGCTGCCTTCTGCGGATGGCGCACCTGATCGCCCACCGGGACGCCAGCTCGTGAGCATGCCGGCAGCAGCTGATCGAGCAGGCTCAGGGCGCGTGGGGCTCGGAAGCAGTCAGCGGGGGGGGGGGGGGGGGGGGGGGGGGCGTATGTTGTGTAAAGCGTGTAGGTGACAGGTGTCTGGTACGCTGTGTCCTGAATGCCGCTGATCATGGACCTAGGCTACAAAGTGCTGAAAAACGGACAGTGGCTTACAAATGACTGCTGCATGCGACGCGCCCAAGAATCCCAATCAACTACAGAAATTGGATCTATCAACGTCGGTGGATTTGGATTAAGGTGTGATGATTTGGTCAGCATGCGTATGACTATTTGAAGGACTGGTGAGTGTATTGTGCTGCGGGGGTTTGCAATGACTGTGAGTCTTACGATGGTAAGGCAAATTCCTTTGTGACAAAGGGTGGTGCACAACGCCTGGATGTTGAAGTTTGGTCCTGTTTTCGGGCTGAAATTTACTCTTCCTATGTTTTGGAATGGACGATAGACGTTTTGCGTCGTACGCTTACCGTTACGTTATGGCCATTGTATACGCGTATGGCTCGAGTAATGGGATAGTGAGTTGCGAAGCAACGTAGACTGTGCAAGGCGTGTTTCAAAAGACAAACTTCGAGGATTGTACTTCCAACGGAATGGACTCGTTGAGAGCTTTCTGTTGTGCAGTGTCGCGTCCCTGACCGTGCCGTCGATGTCGTGTTGTTTTCCAGAAGCTTCAGCCATCGGCCGTTGAGCGTCCGCGAACATCTGGCCGCCCTGTCCCAGAACAAGAACCACGTGAACGTCATCCGAGCCACTGTCAATCACATGGTGAGCCCCGCGTGCTCAGTGCAGGCTCTGCCAGACACCTGGCAGTAAAGAAGTTCATTGAACATATTGTGACATGGCCTGCTCGTCATCTGCTGGCATGTGCTGTCCGTCACATGCTGAGGTGGCCTGCCTGCTGTCTGGTGCCTGTCGTTGCGGCCTCGTGCCGGGTGCCTGTCCTGCCTGCGGCGGGGTGCTGTGCTCCGCACGTCTTACGATGACGTACCCTGCGTGGCGCGTGCCGATGTACCCGCTGGCCTCGTGATCCGTGCGCTGCCGCCTCGTACCGGGTGCCTGTCCTGCCTGCGGCGGGGTGCTGTGCTCCGCACGTCTTACGATGACGTACCCCGCGTGGCGCGTGCCGATGTACCCGCTGGCCTCGTGATCCGTGCGCTGCTGCCGCCTGCTGCTGCTCTTTGCCGGCCGCGCAGTGACCCGCTCTTCCCCCGGCGGCAGTGTCTGGACGGACCGGATCCGCGCACCGAGCGGCCCCGCTGGTTCCATCTGGCGGCGCGCGGCGGCGGCTCGCTCAACGTCCCAGAGGTCAGACGTAGTGGCGCGGGCGGGGGGCGCGCGCGAGGGTCAACAGAGTTGGACGTATACTCAGCATGTACGTGTAAACGCTCGCACACGCATACGCATACACGCACGTCAGCCACATCGTATGCACGGGCGCACGTATTCTCTCGCGTGCGCTTGCACCTTTTGGGCTCGCGTGAACACGTACACACAAGCACACACGCTGCTGGAGACACGGGCACGCGAAAGCGTCAAAAGTGGGACACGGCGGCTGAGGCAGAACGAGAGACCGAGTCTGATCACAGTGAGGTATTCCTGGCTGTGGTGCAGTGTTGCCATCAACCTTCACCTGATTACTCTGCTACTTGTGTAGCCTGCTCCGGGCCGGCCGACGCGAGCTCGTGGTGTCCGCATGTGACGATGGGTTCTCTTGGTGCATTCATTTCGTTTGGTGCACGCTGTTTTCATCAAGCTCTGCTCATCGATATGTTTAGCCGTTGTGATGTCGCGTACCCTACCCTACCCAACCCTACCCTGCCCTGCCCTGCCCTGCCCTGTCCTGCCCTGCCCTGCCCTGCCCTGCCCTGCCCTGCCCTGCCCTGCCCTGCCATCCTGATCTACCCGACCCGACCCGGCCTAATCCTGTTTGTGTGCGCGTTGTGCAGTTTATGACTTAAGGTCCTTTGGGCCAGGTCCATAGTCCAGCCCTAACTTGCGTAGTGCAGTGAGATTCTCGTGTTGAAATTATGTGTGAGTGTTGTCAGTTGAGCTGAGCACAGTGCTGCAATTTTCGGTACGACACCACTACGAAATATCTTCACGTGATACCTACTGCTAGCGTGAATGCCTTATTTGGCCGTTGCCTACACGCACAGTGATGACATCTAATCGTGACCTCATAACGCTCCGGGCACGCGCTGGCGCCGCTGGCCGCGTGCCGTCGCCAGCCGGCGGCGTGGCCGCGCCGCGGGCGGCCCCATTCCGGAGCCGGGCCGAGGTGTGTCACGCAGCTGACCCCCGGCGCCGCCTGCCAGCTGGGCGGCGTCAGCCGGCATTACCCGGCCGTCGGGCGGCGGCCGCGTCCGAGCCGGCCCATTATCGCGGCGAGCGGCTGCGCTCCGTCACTGGCGACCGCCGCCCCCGCCGTACGGGCAGGGTCACCGACAGCCATCGGCCGCCCGCCGCCTGCCGTCTGCCGCCTGCTGCCTGCCGCCCCCGCCGTACGGGCGGGCTCACTGCCGGCCGCCCGCCGCCTCCGCCGCACGGGCAGGGTCACCGCCCGCCGCCCCCGCCGTGCGGGCAGGCACACCGCCCGCCGCCCGCTGCCTCCACTGTACGGCAGGCACACCGCCCGCCGCCCGCCACCCCCACTGCACGGGCAGGCACCACCCGCCGCCCGCTGCCTCCACTACACGGGTAGAGTCACCGCCCGCCACGCCCACTGCACGGGCAGGCACACCACCCGCCGCCCGCCGCCTCCACTGCACGGGCAGGGTCACCGCCCGCCGCCCTCGCCATGCGGTCAGGCACACCGCCCGCCGCCCGCCACCCCCACTGCACGGGCAGGCACACCGCCCGCCGCCCGCTGCCTCCCCTGCACGGGCAGGGTCACCACCCGCCGCCCCCGCCGTGCGGACAGGCACACCGCCCGCCGCCCGCTGCCTCCACTGCATGGGAAGAGTCACCGCCGGCCAGCCGCCACCCCCACTGCACGAGCAGGCACACCGCCCGCCCCCGCTGCCTCCACTGCACGGGCAGGGTCACCGCCCGCCGCCCCCGCCGTACGGGCGGGCTCACCGCCGGCCGCCCGCCGCCCCCACTGCACGGGCAGGGTCACCGCCCGCCGCCCTCGCCATGCGGGGATAGGCACACCGCCCGCCGCCCGCTGCCTCCACTGCACGGGCAGAGTCACCGCCCGCCGCCCGCCACCCCCACTGCACGGGCAGGCACACCGCCCGCCCCCGCTGCCTCCACTGCACGGGCAGGGTCACCGCCCGCCGCCCCCGCCGTACGGGCGGGCTCACCGCCGGCCGCCCGCCGCCCCCACTGCACGGGCAGGGTCACCGCCCGCCGCCCTCGCCATGCGGACAGGCACACCGCCCGCCGCCCGCTGCCTCCACTGCACGGGCAGAGTCACCGCCCGCCGCCCGCCACCCCCACTGCACGGGCAGGCACACCGCCCGCCGCCCGCTGCCTCCACTGCACGGGCAGGGTCACCGCCGGCCAGCCGCGCTCCTCCCGCGCCGGCTATCCGAGGCATGCGAGCCACTCGGACCAATCAGTGGTGACGTGACAGGACGGGCCGCGGCCGTGATGCATCGCCGTTCGGTAACGCGCCGGGTAATGAACGTTTACAGCGTCCGACCGAACAGGTCGGCGGGCGGCGGCGGCGAGGAGGTGGGCTCGAGTGGTGCCCGCGACGCAGCCGATCCCCTGTGCACCTCCAGTCATTTACGGGTACATATTTTGCGAAGAAGTTCCCCGTTTGTACTGGGGTAGCCAGAATGGCCAGGATGGCCAGTGAGCTGTCCTTGGTATGCACTGTGACGTGCATCTGACGCTCCTCCGCACGTCCGGTGCGCTGACCTGGGGCTTAAGAATGGCCGGTATTGCCCTGACGCCGCTGTTTGTCGCCCGCGGAGCCGCGGTGGCGATACCGGGCGCACGGGAGCACGGGAGCGCCGCCGGTGCCGCGCTGTGCCGCCTGCGCGGAGCTGGCGACTCTCAGAGGTCAGGGGGGACGGGCGTCGGCCCCGGCGCCGTCCCGTCGCCGCCGGCCGGCTACGGGCCCGTCGTCGGCAGGATCAGACGTAGTGCCCGGCGCGCCAACACGTTATCAAAGCGCCGCCGCTCGTTCCGGGGCAGCTGGGTGGCGACGGCCAAACAACGGCGCGTACACACTCCGGCGTGGCGCGTGCCGTCCAGCCGGGCGACCCGCTGTTTGTTGCCACAGCGGCGCTGCAGCGCCGACACCTGCCAGTCGCACAAGCTCCGCGTTGTGTCCTGGGTAGGTGAGATCGCTGGCGCGGCCGGTGGAGAGCATTTCGGGTGTGACCGAAGGGCGTGGTGAGCCTGGCTTCGCATGGGCTGTTAAAAGTGCCACGAATGGCAGGAAGCCGCGATAACGCTGCGCTTTGCCGCGCTTAGGTGTGCTTTGCTGGCGTATGCTGCTTCGGCGGAGTCGGACCGCCGCTGTCGGCAGACGAGGCCATAGGGACCCTGGCGCGACACGGCCTGCCGTGCCTCCAGCGGGGGCTGGGGTCGGACGGCGTCACCGCCAGGCCCAGGCCGACTGGGAGCCTCCGGGCTGATCCGTTATTTTTGGGCGTCGTTTTGCGAGATCTGGCAGCGGGCCGCGGCGCGGGCGCCAGCGCCGCTGCCAGGGAATGTCCGGTGTCACCGGGGGCCGGCGCGCCGAACAATGCCGACCTGCCCTGACAAACATGCCGATAGCCCCGCCGCTCAGCCGCGCGCCGCCTGCCAGGCAAACCGCAGGCTGGACCGACCGGCGACGGCTGCTCCTGTCACGGCACCGCGCTGGCTCGCGATGTGTTGTTTCTGTGCGTGGTTTAGGGTGCCAAGCGACGGCAGTTGGTCCTGTGATAGCGAAGCCGAGAGAACGGCGGACATTTGGCTCTGGGCGTAGGTGCATTTCAAAGAAGCCCTTGTCCCAAAACGGCGAACTGGCTCGTTTGGCTGTTCACTGAGCGTGCAGTCGCTCTTCAGCTTGCGTAAGAGGCGTCACATCGGTTGCCTCACTGGTATGGAATGGGAGGAGGAGAGGAGAGGAGAGGAGAGGAGAGGAGAGGAGAGGAGAGGAGAGGAGAGGAGAGGAGAGGAGAGGAGAGGAGAGGAGAGGAGAGGAGAGGAGAGGAGAGGAGAGGAGAGGAGAGGAGAGGAGAGGAGAGGAGAGGAGGGACCTTGCATCGATTCGCCCTCAACATAATGGCATTAAAGCAATCATCCAGACATGAGTTTATTCGATTTTTTCTCGCCAAAACTCATCTCTTGTGGAAATAGCTACTTGGCTGTTTTGTGGATGCTGCTGCATAGCATCATTTACACTGTGTATATTCAAAGTGTGCTGGGCGATGTCAAAGTGCGGCACCATGCATAGCTTGTAACGTGAGCTAAAGCTGCCTCCGAGATCTGGTGAGGTGCGCTGCGGTGGTGGCGTCTCGGAGCACAGACGTCCGGCAGTGCTCGCCTTCGCTCGCCGGAGTCCGCTGTCTCGCTCCACATGCCGCCGTCCCGGCCAGCGGGGTCCGGTTCCCACGGCGGCTGCCCTGCGTGCCTCGACTAGCCGTGCTAAGTGGTGGAGCGCCGAACTCGCGCCGACCTGGCGCACTGCCGTCGTTGAGGACCGGAGGCCATTAGAGAACTTAGGCTCGTGGATGAAATGCGGGCGAGGTAGCGAGCGGCGTCTAGCAGTGCACAGCACTGCCCATCCGTCTGTCATGTGGCTGTTACCTGCAGCATGAACGCCGAGAAGGCCCTCAGCTTATGTCTGACACATCACTATCCCTTTTGCCATACAGGGCTGTCTTTAAACCGTGCATTGATGGCCCTTTGCCACGACTCTTTTTGGAACAACAGACACCGATCAGTTCGACGCTGAGCCTGCCACCCTGCGACCTCTGCTAAAGCCACTCGCCGCACATACAGACATGGGGAAAGTAAGGGCATGGAAACTATGGGCTCGAAGCCCTTGTGTAGTGGATGTTTTGCGATCATTATCGTCAATATGCTGTGACGTACAGGAACACACAAATATATGTACAAGGAGCAATGCATCGTGTTCAGAAAATTGCATTTGATACAATGCACGGTGATTGACTACACCATGTCCTCTAGATCTGCGTGATTGTAAATCAAGCGTTCCATAACACTCCCGCGGTGCAAAATTATGGCGCTCACAAAATACAGAATTACATTATCACTTCCATTATTTCGTACTAACCATCGGAAGCGTTTTTAGTTGAGATCGAACGATTCTCCCTCAAAACCGCCATGCCATTATACCCTGTTGTTTGTGTTTGTTGTAGTTGGTGTTGTGCTATCATCACTGCCTGTGGCCATCTGTTGTCCTTTGCTCGACCCTGGTGTTTGTTTGACCCCGTGTTGTGCCGTCCTCTCTTACCCCACCCTCTGTTTGTTTTCTGTGTTTGTTTAAGAGTTATTAGTGTGCTGTTTTGCTCTGGAGATTCTACTGATATCCTTTATGTTGACCTCTCGTGTTTGTTGGAGCGCGTGTTGTGCCGTGACGGCTGCCTTGGCCGCCTCTAGTCTGGGAAGGCATGCCCCCGCCGCCGGGGTAACGGCCTGGGACGGGCTGGTGACACCTCCAGTCTGGGAAGGCATGCCCCCGCCGCCGGGGTAACGGCCTGGGACGGGCTGGAGACGCCTCCAGTCTGGGGAGACGCCTCCAGTTTGGGAAGGCGTGCCCCTGCCGCCGGGGTGCCGGCCTGGGCCGGGCTGGTGACACCTCCAGTCTGGGAAGGCGTGCCCCTGCCGCCGGGGTGCCGGCCTGGGCCGGGCTGGTGACACCTCCAGTCTGGGGAGACGCCTCCAGTTTGGGAATGCGTGCCCCTGCCGCCGGGGTGCCGGCCTGGGCCGGGCTGATGACACCTCCAGTCTGGGGAGGCGTGCCCCTGCCGCCGGGGTGCTGGTCTGGGTCGGGCCGGTGACGCCTCTAGTCTAGGGGGCCGTGTCCCTGCCGGGTTGTCGAGCTGGGCCGGACCGGTGACGCCTCTAGTCTAGGGGACCGTGTCCCTGCCGGGGCGTCGAGCTGGGCTGGGCTGTGACGCCTGTCTGACGGTGTCGGCCGGTATTCCCAGGTGGTGGAGCTGCTCTCCCAGTACGGCGCCGTCTAGTCTAGGGGACCGTGTCCCTGCCGGGGCGTCGAGCTGGGCCGGGCTGTGACGCCTGTCTGACGGTGTCGGCCGGTGTTCCCAGGTGGTGGAGCTGCTCTCTAGTCTAGGGAACCGTGTCCCTGCCGGGGCGTCGAGCTGGGCTGGGCTGTGACGCCTGTCTGACGGTGTCGGCCGGTGTTCCCAGGTGGTGGAGCTGCTCTCTAGTCTAGGGGACCGTGCCCCTGCCGGGGTGTCGAGCTGGGCCGGGCTGTGACGCCTGTCTGACGGTGTCGGCCGGTGTTCCCAGGTGGTGGAGCTGCTCTCTAGTCTAGGGGACCGTGCCCCTGCCGCCGGGGTGTCGACCTGGGCCGGGCTGTGACGCCTGTCTGACGGTGTCGGCCGGTGTTCCCAGGTGGTGGAGCTGCTCTCCCAGTACGGCGCCGTCGATGTGCGGCCCTGCTCGGCCCGGCAGGCGCTCGTCGCCGTCGGCAACTACCGCTGGTCAGTGCTCACGCGTCATGTGTGTGAACCCACGCACCCAACACTCACGCATACACTCACGCGCCCGACTCTTCTCTGTCGTCCTGCTGTCGCGACCAAATCGCTTATAGGCCGTGCATCCGTCCTGCATTTCACAATCATTAACTGTCACGGTCAGGCCAACCTCCGCAACCAACGAAAACTCGCCGGCCCGCTCTTCCTGACCCCTGCGCACCTCCTCAACCCCGGGTAGTTCTGGCCCGTCCGACTTCGACGGCCAAGGATCCGTGGGCGGCGGACACACCAACGGCACCTACGTGGCGCATTGACTCCGCCGCTTGAAAGGCCTGCCATCTGGGTGTCGCAATCCGCCGTCGCCGCGTCACGGGCCCGCCCCAAGCACTCGATGTGGTTCGGCTACGGTCTGTCTGCGGCGTTCCGGGTCGCCCAGCCCGTGACCGGCTGTTCCACAGTCGTCCGCGTGGCGGCGCTGCGATCGACCCTGGCCGACCGCCGGGGCCACTCATAGCTTCGCGCTGGATTCCCGCGAGGTCATCTGCTTGAGGGACTTCTGAGAGGATGGGGTTAGGGATTGAGGGGACGGTATTGGGGCTGTTGGTTGTACACTAAGGGGTTGGGCGGGGAGAGGGGGGGGGGGGGGGCGTTTTGAAGCGACAGTTGTGTGCTGCGCGAGAACAGCAGCCGTCGTGCTCTGTCGTGAGAGCCCGCTTGGTATCCTTGTTGAGACACAAACAAATCAGGTATCTCGGCGGTGATCGATCGACACAGTGCACCACTCCTCAGGCACCAGTCCTGTATGTGACGAGCTCGTCACTCAGAAGGAAAAGAGAAGGTTGTGAAAGACAAGCACGGGAAATCAGCGCCTTGATATCTCGAAAGTTGTGCGTTGAAAGCCTGGCGCAATCGTGAGATAAACATATTGTGTTTTTCTCGTTATTGTGGGCCAATGCCAACCCTCTTTTTTATCGTGAGGCGATCTTCCGAAGCTGCCTGGAGGCGGGGGGCTAACTACGAAGCTGCGGTGTGCTGTCGCGCAGCGCTGCGCCTGCTGGCGCCTGCTTCTGGCGTCAGTTATCATTTACAATAGGCAACATTGCAACACAGTGGCATGTTTGATAAATTTTGGGTTCTGTTTTGACATCGTTGGATCCCCCGACCGAATGGAATGCTGGCATTTTTACAGCAAGTTTGTTAACACCATTGGTTTGCTGGATGCAAGGTCGCCGTTGATCACCGAGTGAACTGTGGCTTTCCTTTACCATTGTTGAGCACCCACGCTGTTGATAGATCGCTGCGTGTTGAGTGGGTGAGACGTAATGCTCAGCATGCGCATCAAAGAGGCCATTTGCCCTTGGCAGGTACGGCCTGCGGCCGGTGGCAGCGGTCGCGCTTAAGGCCAGTTGACGTCAGAGGGCAGAACGGACCGTGCCGAGCATTGCGGCACGTAAAGCTTTCGCCACTAAATTCTGCCGTTGCCTGGAACTGCGCGATCGGATGGTGGGGGTCAGGGCTCACACAACAAGCGCTGTTTAGCGTGAGCGCTGATCCCAGAAATTCATCCATTCAAAAAGGTTCGGATCAAATTTTTTAAAAATTGTTGAATGGTTAGTCATTCTTTAGACACTCGTTATGAACGGGAAGTAAAGAAGTACCCAACATCCATATTTATTCCAACAGCACGACCGCCCCTTGGAAATGCGGAACAGCCGCTAGGTCGTGACCCCGCAATGTCGATCCAGCGACCCCGTCGCGCATGACCCAGATGGTCTGACATCCACCATGTGCGATTGATTACTCCCGGCTTATCGGCACAGTCGGTGTGTATGGCAGTCAGCTGTCGTTGATATCTCTGCGCGGTGCGTATTCACAGCAACTGATATGTGTTGTCTATAGTGTGATTCCACTACACGTCGTGTTTGTCCAGCTCTGTCGCGTCTCTCTGGTGTCCTTTGTAGTCGTCGTAGGCTGTTTTCCGAACTTTTTTCTCTCACTGAAAATTATTGCTGTCTGTGGCTGGTGCATCCTTCCCTAACGGTGAGTTGGGGTTTGCGGAGGGAAGGGGAGGGCTGCATGGGTGTCTCTCTGTCTGGCTGTCTGACACCCGATCTGAACGTCGGCTGGTGTCGGCCTCGCTCTCCGGGCCCGGTGGAGCGCACGCCGCGTCTCTCACCACCAGTCGGCGCTGGCCAGCCAGCAGTCAGGACTCTGATACTCTGACCATCCGCCGTCAACTCCGCTCAGAGCCGCGTGAGGCTGTGAAAACGAAGCTGTACTCTCAGAGTACGAAACGAGCGTGAGGTTGCCGAAACACCGTGGTGTCGTTAGAGGTCGTCATGTGCTGCACTTTTGTTCTGGTTTGAACGTTTTACGACCGAGCAGTAAGGTGTGTTTAAGCTCAAATCATCCACGTCACAGCTGTATGGGATGTGCGGATGATGTCCTTCCGGCATCGACGACTTGCACTGAACGTCGTATGCTCCTCCGTCCATTGGGCCGTGGCTGGCTGGAGGCTCCACCGCACAGAGGTGGGCCGGCGTGCAGACCCCGTCACGGGCCTGGAGCCCTGAATGACAGCGTGCCGAAAACCAACGCTGACACAGCGTGGCGGCGGCGCCCGTCGTCGGTGCTGTGGTACATAGAGCCGGCCGACGACCCGGCCGGCTCTACGTACGTGGTCACGCCGGCCGTCGGCGCTGTGGGGCGCAGATCCGGCCGACGACCCAGCTATCTGAGGGCTTCGACTCCCCCGAGGTCCCATCTGACACCCAGTCACGCTGGCCGTCGGCGCTGTGGGACGCAGATCCGGCCGACGACCCAGCCATCTGAGGGCTCTGCCTCCCCGAGGTCCCATCTGACACCCAGTCATGCCGGCCGTCGGCGCTGTGGGACGCAGAGCCGGCCGGCTGAGGGCTTCGGCTCCCCCGAGGTCCCATCTGACACCCAGTCATGCCGGCCGTCGGCGCTGTGGGACGCAGATCCGGCCGACGACCCAGCTATCTGAGGGCTCTGCCTCCCCGAGGTCCCATCTGACACCCAGTCACGCCGGCCGTCGGCGCTGTGGGACGCAGAGCGGGCCGGCTGAGGGCTTCGACTCCCCCGAGGTCCCATCTGACACCCAGTCATGCCGGCCGTCGGCGCTGTGGGACGCAGAGCGGGCCACCTGAGGGCTTCGGCTCCCCCGGGGTTCCATCTGACACCCAGTCATGCCGGCCGTCGGCGCTGTGGGACGCAGAGCGGGCCGGCTGAGGGCTTCGACTCCCCCGAGGTCCCATCTGACACCCAGTCATGCCGGCCGTCGGCGCTGTGGGACGCAGAGCGGGCCAGCTGAGGGCTTCGACTCCCCCGAGGTCCCATCTGACACCCAGTCATGCCGGCCGTCGGCGCTGTGGGACGCAGAGCGGGCCAGCTGAGGGCTTCGACTCCCCCGAGGTTCCATCTGACACCCAGTCATGCCGGTCGTCGGCGCTGTGGGACGCAGAGCCGGCCAGCTGAGGGCTTCGGCTCCCCTGGGGTTCCATCTGACACCGTCACGCTGGCTGGCGTAGGCTCACTGCCGTGGCTGGGCACCGGCGGGCGCCGCCGTCTTGGGAAGGGAGGGGGTCATCGGCACTGTCAAGTGTTGCCATAGAAGGGTTGGCGCGATGTCTGAGCGAAGGAAATGGAGGCTACGATGTTCATGTGCAACAGCTGCTGGTATTGCGGGCATGTCAACATCACTGTCGTTTCTCACCCATCAAATAGTTGTTAAATATTTTTCCTAAAGCTCGTTCAACTTCCGACAAATCTGGCGTTAACTCAAGATCGGTGTGCTTGGCCGTCCATTTTTCAACTTGGCGCAGGATAATGGCAGCAGTCGGGGTGCCCAGAAGTACCCATAAACAACAGCAAAATGTTCCGTCGCTGATACGGACTGCCACTGGACGTCGACTGCACTCGTACGCGTCATTACTAACCCCAGCTCCTCCCCGTGTCCGAAGCGGGGGATGACGTCACGGCTGTGACGGATGACTGTCCGCCGTCCGGAGAGGGGCGTCACGACCGCTCTCAGAAGAGCAGCTGCTTTCTTTGCCGCGGAGCTGGGCGACAGGCGATCTAGCAGCGGCCCGGAATAGGCGCGAGGACGGTCGCCGTCGGCCGCTGCCAGTGGCGCTATTTCGGTGTGGTCGCCGCACCTCCACGCCGCCGTGGCTGCGGGGCGTCAACAGCAAGGCCATTGTCGTTAGCGGAGATGCCGCCATTATGTCACCTTGGTTCCGTCGGCTGACACCAGAGGCGCTGGCGCCGTGCGGTGTCGCTGACCGGGCCTCGACAGAAGAGACAGATGAGACAGTTATGTTTGACCTGGCTGTTTCAGACCTGGAGTTAAACTGGGACTGGGAGGAATTTCCTTTGCCGTTGGGGAGATTTTTGGAAAAACCTATGCCGTGCTAACGGTTTCATCGCATTTTCCGATTAGTTGCCAAAATGTTAAGTTATGTTATTGTCCCTGCAGTCTCTTTGGCGCTCACGCCTGCCACGTGCTGCCTTTTTTGTTGGCCCCCACGTCAGAGCGGTGCTTGAGTGGTTGTGGTATTTCTATTTGATTGATGAGGACTGAATATATAGCGGGCTATAAAAAGCACTACATCTTCGTGACGACAACGCTAGATCTGAGTCACCGCAAGGACCGGAGATTGAGCTGACCTGTGAGCTGCCTGGCGCTCGTTCTCCTCGTCTTAGTTTCCGTCAACGAGTCCAATAACTTTTACTCTTCACACTCCTGATCGCGACTAGGCCATGTGTCCTGCCTAGCCTGCTTGTGCCAGGCTGAACATCTCCACTGGGTCATTCATGTGGGCTGGGGCGCACCTAATGTACCTCTGTGGTAGGGTGATTATCTCAAGGCGGGAAGTTCATCGTTTCTAGACACGGTGCCGGCTATTTCTTTGCGTGGCAGGTGGCCCCCTCGGTGGCCGGTGCTCCCGAGGTGACGGCCTTGGTCGCTCGGTGACCCACCTGTGACTGTCGGTGGTGCCCGGACTGACCGCCTGTGCCCATCCTTCGGTGACAGGTGTGGCCGCTGAGTGCCCCTCGTGGAGTGACGGGTATGGCACTTAGAGTGCCCTTGCTGTGGCTGATATTGATGACAGGTGACACTCGGTGTCCCTCCTGTGGTGACAGGTGGGCCCGCTCGGTGTCCCTCCTGTAGTGACAGGTGGGCCCGCTCGGTGTCCCCCCTATGGTGACGGGTGGGCCCGCTCGGTGTCCCTCCTGTGGTGGCAGGTGGGCCCGCTCGGTGTCCCTCCTGTGGTGGCAGGTGGGCCCGCTCGGTGTCCCTCCTGTGGTGACAGGTGGGCCCGCTCGGTGTCCCTCCTGTAGTGACAGGTGGGCCCGCTCGGTGTCCCCCCTATGGTGACGGGTGGGCCCGCTCGGCGTCCCTCCTGTGGTGGCAGGTGGGCCCGCTCGGTGTCCCCCCTCTGGTGGCAGGTGGGCCCGCTCGGTGTCCCTCCTGTGGTGACAGGTGGGCCCGCTCGGTGTCCCTCCTGTGGTGACAGGTGGGCCCGCTCGGTGTCCCTCTTGTGGTGACAGGTGGGCCCGCTCGGTGTCCCTCCTGTGGTGACAGGTGGGCCCGCTCGGTGTCCCTCCTGTGGTGACGGGTGGGCCCGCTCGGTGTCCCTCTTGTGGTGACAGGTGGGCCCGCTCGGTGTCCCTCCTGTGGTGACAGGTGGGCCCGCTCGGTGTCCCTCCTGTGGTGACGGGTGGGCCCGCTCGGTGTCCCTCCTGTGGTGACAGGTGGGCCCGCTCGGTGTCCCTCCTGTGGTGACAGGTGGGCCCGCTCGGTGTCCCTCTTGTGGTGACAGGTGGGCCCGCTCGGTGTCCCTCCTGTGGTGACAGGTGGGCCCGCTCGGTGTCCCTCCTGTGGTGACAGGTGGGCCCGCTCGGTGTCCCTCCTGTGGTGACAGGTGGGCCCGCTCGGTGTCCGTCCTGTGGTGACAGGTGGGCCCGCTCGGTGTCCCTCCTGTGGTGACAGGTGGGCCCGCTCGGTGTCCCTCCTGTGGTGGCAGGTGGGCCCGCTCGGTGTCCCTCCTGTGGTGACAGGTGGGCCCGCTCGGTGTCCCTCCTGTGGTGACAGGTGGGCCCGCTCGGTGTCCCTCCTGTGGTGACAGGTGGGCCCGCTCGGTGTCCCTCCTGTGGTGACAGGTGGGCCCGCTCGGTGTCCCTCCTGTGGTGACAGGTGGGCCCGCTCGGTGTCCCTCCTGTGGTGACAGGTGGGCCCGCTCGGTGTCCCTCCTGTGGTGACAGGTGGGCCCGCTCGGTGTCCCTCCTGTGGTGACGGGTGGGCCCGCTCGGTGTCCCTCCTGTGGTGGCAGGTGGGCCCGCTCGGTGTCCCTCCTGTGGTGACAGGTGGGCCCGCTCGGTGTCCCTCCTGTGGTGACGGGTGGGCCCGCTCGGTGTCCCTCCTGTGGTGACAGGTGGGCCCGCTCGGTGTCCCTCCTGTGGTGACGGGTGGGCCCGCTCGGTGTCCCTCCTGTGGTGACAGGTGGGCCCGCTCGGTGTCCCTCCTGTGGTGACAGGTGGGCCCGCTCGGTGTCCCTCCTGTGGTGACAGGTGGGCCCGCTCGGTGTCCCTCCTGTGGTGACAGGTGGGCCCGCTCGGTGTCCCTCCTGTGGTGACAGGTGGGCCCGCTCGGTGTCCCTCCTGTGGTGACAGGTGGGCCCGCTCGGTGTCCCCCCTCTGGTGGCAGGTGGGCCCGCTCGGTGTCCGTCCTGTGGTGACAGGTGGGCCCGCTCGGTGTCCCTCCTGTGGTGACAGGTGGGCCCGCTCGGTGTCCGTCCTGTGGTGACAGGTGGGCCCGCTCGGTGTCCCTCCTGTGGTGACAGGTGGGCCCGCTCGGTGTCCCTCCTGTGGTGGCAGGCGGGCCCGCTTGGTGTCCCTCCTGTGGTGACAGGTGGGCCCGCTCGGTGTCCCTCCTGTGGTGACAGGTGGGCCCGCTCGGTGTCCCTCCTGTGGTGGCAGGTGGGCCCGCTCGGTGTCCCTCCTGTGGTGACAGGTGGGCCCGCTCGGTGTCCCTCCTGTGGTGACAGGTGGGCCCGCTCGGTGTCCCTCCTGTGGTGACAGGTGGGCCCGCTCGGTGTCCCTCCTGTGGTGACAGGTGGGCCCGCTCGGTGTCCGTCCTGTGGTGACAGGTGGGCCCGCTCGGTGTCCCTCCTGTGGTGACAGGTGGGCCCGCTCGGTGTCCCTCCTGTGGTGACAGGTGGGCCCGCTCGGTGTCCCTCCTGTGGTGACAGGTGGGCCCGCTCGGTGTCCCTCCTGTGGTGACAGGTGGGCCCGCTCGGTGTCCGTCCTGTGGTGACAGGTGGGCCCGCTCGGTGTCCCTCCTGTGGTGACGGGTGGGCCCGCTCGGTGTCCCTCCTGTGGTGACAGGTGGGCCCGCTCGGTGTCCCTCCTGTGGTGACAGGTGGGCCCGCTCGGTGTCCCTCCTGTGGTGACAGGTGGGCCCGCTCGGTGTCCCGTCGCGTCGCTGACGTCCCCTGGCGGCGGCGCAACAGCCTTCGGCCGCCTCCGGCTATTTCTGCCGGCGGGTATTTCGGCGGACGACGACAGCCGAGGATGAGCCGAGGCCATTGCCAACGGGCCACCGGCTCCGGCGCCGCCGCTACCGTCGCCGCAGCCAGCACCGCCGCCGCCACCGCCACCATCGCCACCATCGCCACCGCTGCCGCCGCCGCCACCGCCACCAACACGACCGCCACTACGGCCACCTGCATGACCAGTGGCACGGCCGCTGCTGCGGTCACCAGCATAGGTCCTGCTGCTGCCCCAGCGTTAACGTCGCTGACGTCGCTGCTGACTGGTACCGGCGCCGCAGCCTGCGCTGTCGGCGCTGACGCCGCTGGCTTCACCTGTGCTGGTATCAGCCTCAGCAGTGCTGTTATTGCTCCCGCCGAAACCAGTGGTAATTTCATTACTACGGGCCCTGATTCCACCACTGGTGTCGTCACTGCCACTTCCACTGCCGCGTCTGAGTGCTATGTGAACCGGACGTCCGCGTTCCGGTTCTGGAGGAGCTTCGGACGGTTGTGTTTGGTAGAGCATTAATGGCCAAACCTCTGTTCGGACTGCCGCTGCTAGCTAGTTTTTGGGCAGTGTTTTTGACCACGTGACCACAGCTACCCGCCTCGCGGTCATGAGCGTCTAAGTTTGCCTTTGTCGGAGGCTTTGCCACATGCAAGGGCGCGTGAAAAGTTCGCTCACTTCTCACCCCCGCGCCCAAGCGGAGTGAGCCTGTGTAAATCGTCGGTCAGGACGGCGTCTGGCTTCCGTCCGCTGGGACACGGCGTCCCTGTGATCTTGCAGGCGAACGGGGTGCTCAGAGATTTGAGGAAGGGCCGCGATGACTGCCATGCCGGCAATGACGCGCAGATCTTGGCACATATGACTCTCATTTGATATTACACCCGTTCGATATTATTACACGATGATACTATGCCTATTACGCTTGTGCTCTTGGCACATTTCCTCCTCGGTCACGGCATGTGAACGCGTTTTAGGCACATGGCCGTGTGATGGGTACAACGTTGCCTAGCTGTGACTCCCAGAAGCGATACAGAGGGCTCAAAGGCCCAGAACAACCATGCCATTGACATTGGCCGCCCACCACTCACCTGGCCTTATGGAACGAATGCATTCATGCTGGTCTTGGCTACGTGCCTCTCATTGCGAGTCTGGATACGCCTGTGAGAATCACTGCCCTTGCCCGCGTGCTGCCCGCCGCCAGACCGTTCGGCTTTGTTGTCCTGGCGCCCCCCCCCCCCCCCGCCCCGCCGCCAAACCTCCGCGTGGAAGCGATGCGGACACTACGGCGCTGTTACTGAAATCAACGTCACCCGGCCTCCAAATGTTTACATCTTTTCTTTGGCTATTAGAGGGTCTGCCACCGCTGTGCCAAGAGTGCCAGGCCCAGGCTGGGTAAACAGGCGGGTGGCGAGTGCCCCACCCCACCCCCGGGGCGCGTGCAATATACCTGCGCTCTGTTTCGGTGCCGGCGACACCACTGGGAGCGCGGTGTTTGGACGCTGGAAGTGCGCCGACCGCCGGCTGTTGGTGCTCCAGCCCCGCTGGTGTGATGCTTCTAAGTACTATTCTGAGTGGTCTGAAGCATCGTGAGGTGCTTGCATCGGGCGAAAAGGTCCGAAAATGACAGTTCAAAGCACAGGCGCTGCTAAGGAGTGGGGAGGGGGGGGGGGGAGGGCATTAGCTCCGCATTGTTTTGATTTTTCACCACAGATGGTTCGTCTTGTCAGGCTATTAAAATTCAGCCTGATGTGTTATAACTGAGGTTCGGGCCCCCTCTTAATTGAAGGAAATCCTGGCCGCGCCCATACTGCTGAGTACAGTGTCTTCACCTTTCTTCAATGACCGGCTGGCGGTAGGATCTTCCAATGCGCAACATGTAACTCTATAGCTGTCGCCTGCAGTCTCTGACCATCCCATTCTCCCAGAGGGCCTCATCGTGCCCAATCACCAGCCCGCACCACCACCACCACGTCCAGTCTCTGGCCATCCCATCGTCCCAGAGGGCCTCATCGTGCCCAGTCACCAGCCCGCACCACCACCACCACGTCCAGTCTCTGACCATCCCATCTTCCCAGAGGGCCTCATCGTGCCCAGTCACCAGCCCGCACCACCACCGCGGCCGCCGCCGTCAGTCACCAGCCGGTCAGCGGGCAGCCCCGGCGCCACGGACAGCTGGGCAGACACCTGCTCCTGCCGGCGGCCCCGTGTTGACTCGGGTGGACGTGCCCGCATTTGAACACTGAGACGCTCGACAGACGCAGCCGCTCGCGCTGCCTTGTCTCGGGCTGAGGACAAAGATCTGGCTCGGCCGTCTGCGGGTGCGCTCACTCGAGCACCGAAGGCGAGCGAACGAAGTGAGAGAACCGTGTGGCGACGCTGAATTCTCAACGCGTTTTGATAAAGCCAGGAAGCGTTCTGACTCCTCGCTTGAAAGGGGCTGGCGGTCGGCCCTGGTCTGCCGGCAGCGTTTGAGCTGCTGCAGCGTGGCCGTGATTGGCGGATCTGCTGAGGACGTGTGCCGGGACGTTAGCTGACGAGACATGACATGTCCGAGGCACGGCCAGGGGTGGTGTCGGATGACTGCCAGCGCGAGGCACACTTGAACTGGACGTCACGGGCTGCGCACGTGACGCCCTCCAGTTCGCGGTAGCGGCGACCGGCCTTGGGCGCCAGGGGCGGTGTCACGTGACCGGCGCCGGCGGCCTTGAACCCGCGGCGGCGGCGGTCACGTGACGGTCTCTGCGGCAGCCGGCCGCTTGTGTTGGCGGCCGGCCGGTCCAGAAAGAAGACGCCGAAGGTCGACGGTGGGCGGCGAGGCATGTGCGTCATCCATCCAGGTGGCGGCTGCTGACGCCACCGCCGGCGGGCCGGCCGCGCAGCCGGCCGGCCCCATAGCGCGCCCGGCGACAGAGCGGCAGCGAGGAAGCGCCGCCTCCGGGAGCGGGGCACCAGGGAGGCCGCCGGAAGTGGGACAGCAGGGAGGCCGCTGGGAGTGGGACACCAGGCACGCCGCCGACACTCCTGGTGGTGCGCTAAGCGCGCTCGAGGTTTCCGTTGCGTTCGCGAACAGTTGCGGCTTTCCTCCGCGCTACGCATCTGTGGTTCCGCGGTGCGTCCGATGTGGTTGGGAGATGCGCCACGTTAGGCGCTGGTCTGGCCACGTGGGAAGACTCGACACCATGTTGTGGGACGGTCAGTCTACTGACGGAGATGGTACCGTACTGCTTATGTAACAGGGCCTTCCCCGCGCGTGGAATGTGCTGGAATACTCGCCCATGTGTATGTACCCGGCATTGTTTTGCCCACCGGTCAGTTTGGTGAGGATCCGTTCATTGTTTGCTCAAGCTCCTGGATTTCTGGGATTGGCAGCAGTAAAACATGATTTAACGTCACTGCATTTCAAAGGATACAGCAAGCTCAGTTGGCATGGATGTCGGCATGTGTTGGCATGGATGTTGGCATGGATGTCCAGTTCTTTCCGTCGTACTCCTATACCCGGATCCATCCGAGGAAGTTCGCGAAATGCAGGCACGGGGTATGCATCTGACGAATTGGACAAAACGATAGCTATTGGGCTCCGACCATCGAGCGCCTCACTGGTCATTGCATGGTCCGGCATAGCATGCGGCAACGGCCTTGGTCTGACGCCCTCATTCGCCCGGCGTCGCAAAATAGCAGGCGTTTGTCCCTCCACGGTGCTTAAAGGGAATGCCCCACCTTTGAAGCATATCTTCAAGATATATTCCAGCGAAACCTCAGGACTAGTGACGCCTCAAAATAGCACTGGGTTGTGCCACATCAGTGCCATCAAGATACAATAAGGATATCGATTTTAATTGTTTTCGAGTCCAACTTACACAGCCAACGCTCCGCGACAACGCTACGCTTCGTCCCTGCAGTCACGGCCACCGTTGTCATGACAGTGGCCGTGCGCACCCCTGTTGGTACAAATAAAACAAAAATATGTTTGGCCTGGTGAGCAAGGGTCTGTTACCGAGAACCGCATCGGTTGAAGTTTGAACCAATGCGTCACATAGGTCGCATTATCTCAATTCCCAAAGTCAAAATGTGCCTCGAAAAGAGGCACTGCAGTTAATGCCCTAGGCGAGAAATTAAAGCCATGGTATGACGTTTCGTTGCATTCGCAAGGTAAAAGCTTAATGTTTGTGTATCTTTTCATTTAAACAGTGTTTCATGCTTTCGTAGCATTTATTGCGCAGGCATTTGGACACATCAGTGTGTTGCGACCATTACAGGGCACACGCATTGGGAGGCGCAAGGCAAATGAAAAGCGTTGTTTTCGTGGCGCTGAGCAGGGAGTCAAATTATATTTCTCCCGCAGGTTAGGCTACCTCAGAATCGAAATTCTGGACTATTCAGGAGGATTTCGAGAAAACTGGTATTGCTCATCAAGTTCTACGCGTTTAATGCAGAATAAGTGAAAAGTACAAAGAAGGTGGGATAGTCCCTTCAAGGATGCAATGTAAGGCTGATAGTGCGTTAGCGTTCGAGCCGTGCGCTCATCCAGTCTTTGGACTGTGTAGAAATCACCCCGATTTGTGATCGATATGGACCTCAGTCCTCAGGATGATTTAAAAATCACCACAGATGTATGGAGTTTTGAGGAGGTAATGCAGCCTATCAAAGCCTTCGTCTCCGCATGCTCCTCATTTTTGTGCATACGCTTGATGCGGGAATTTGTATGAGGTTACGTCCATAGCTAAGGGTTGGGGGGAGGGGGAGGGACGAGAATCTGCGCGCGGTCATAGCGAGACTGTCCCGGAAAAAAACGGCGAGAGACGATTGTATTGTACCAACTTAGCGCTGTTGAGACCAGTTGGCACTGAGCTATTGCGTGCATTGCGGTCACGCAACATCAAATATCGCTTGCGCTACTAAAAGGGGCGCTTGCGAGCTCGGCACTGGATGTCCTGGACCGTGCAGAATTAGTCGGCGTTACACCGCCCAGGAGAGTCTGGCGTCGGCAGAGGTGATGCACTTCAAGTCAAGGTGATGCACTTATATCACAGTGTCAAGTGCCGGTGTAAAAATCGCCATGCTAGGCTCGCGCGACGTTCCGTCCAAGCTGCTCGCAATGTCGAGTCTTGCCAACGCTAGCGAGGCGGCCTTTGGCGGTGAGCCATCAGAGGCCAAAGTCGCTGTCCAGCCGCCCCACTCTTCGCTGGAGTACGACTGAAATATCCCCGTCAGCTCCGATGCCAGAAACCGAGGCCGTCATGGTTTTAATTGCTGCTGAAATGATACATGTTCGGTAACCGTGACCAATCAGCGTATTTGAGAGCATTTGACGAGTAACTCGCCGCGGTTGATATTGTCCGTAGCACGTCTGTTTGAAGATCATATGGCTGGCGAAGAGTACGGAACGCTCTTTCATGGTGTCTGTGATAGCATCCGTTTCATAAAGAAATCATAGCACACCAGCCAGCACGTCACATATTCCACTGAGCTTTTGGCTTTATAACGCTGCGATGTGGCTGATATCTGTCCTCCAGATATGTTGCCTGCGTCCCGCTTCCCGCCAGTCAGCCTAGAACAGGATGTGCCCACCTCTCCGGTTGAGCCCAGCATTCTCCCTCGTCGTCTCGACATTTGTGAGGCGCTTGGATGTGACAAACTAACCAGGCATCACACGCCATAGGCTTGTACCAGTACAACAGCTGACATGGCTTAGCGAAGCCACTTTTCATTTACCTCTAGCTTGCTGCTGAGTAGCCTGTTAGTGTCAAGGCAAGCATCATGCACATGCAAATGAAAGGGGTATCTACTGAGGTCCTCTTGCAACCCTTCCATGATGAGAAGTCTTCACCTTCATGCAAATGATATCGTCTGCCGGGCGTCGCGTTTTTATGTGTGGCTGGTCGACTCTGCGAGTCTCGCTCGGTTCGCCGATGGGCCGACGCCCGATGTTGAATTGCTGGTCGACTCTGCGAGTCTCGCTCGGTTCGTCGCTGAGCCGACGCCCGATGTCAAATGGCTGGTTGAATCCGTGAGCCTCACTCGGTTCGGCGCTGAGCCGACGCCCGATGTTGAATTGCTGGTCGACTCTGCGAGTCTCGCTCGGTTCGTCGCTGAGCCGACGCCCGATGTCAAATGGCTGGTTGAATCCGTGAGCCTCACTCGGTTCGGCGCTGAGCCGACGCCCGATGTTGAATGGCTGTTCGACTCTGTGAGCCTCGCTCGGTTCGGCGCTGAGCCGACGTCCGACGTTGAATGGCTGTTCGACTCTGCTGGTCCCGCTCGGTTCGCCGCTGGGCCAACGCCCGATGTTGAATGGCTGTTCGACTCTGCGAGTCTCGCTCGGTTCGCCGCTGGGCCGACGCCCGATGCGTCCGCCGCCAGTCACAACAAACTTCGTCCTGACTAGCACAGCCGCCGCACAGCCACGCCCTGTGTGTGAGCCCCGGCGGCGGCCGCGGCGGCCGGGCCCACGCGCGTAAACACAGCGCGCCGCGGGCCGCCGAGGAGAGCTGGAGAGCTGAAGAGTCGACGCCGGGCACCGCCGCTCTGCTATTTGGAGTCCCCCGGTGTGGAGTCGGCGGGGTATGGCGCGCGCCGCGGGCCGCTGAGGAGAGCTGGAGGGCCGACACCGGGCACCGCCGCTCTACACCGTGTAATCCTCCGGCGCGGTGTCGGCGGGGTGTGGCGCGCACCGCGGGCCGCTGAGGAGAGCTGGATGGCCGACGCCGGGCACCGCCGCTCTACTCCGTGTAATCCTCCGGCGCGGTGTCGGCGGGGTATGGCGCGCGCCGCGGGCCGCTGAGGAGAGCTGGAGGGCCGACGCCGGGCACCGCCGCTCTACACCGTGTAATCTTCCTGCGCGGAGTCGGCGGGGTGTGGCGTGCGCCGCGGGACGCTGCAGATGATCGGCCAACTTGGCTCTTGTAGCGCCAGAATGGGCTCTCCTGATGACGGAACCTGGTTAGCAAAGCTGAGGGTTGAATTACGGTGGGCGATTGCGCGGATTGACGGTAATAATTGTGGTTATCCACTTGATCGCTTAATCAGGTTTAGGGCTCCTGGCGGGGCTATTAACATGTGCTGATAAAACCCTGGCACGGCTTTCGCACAACCTGATGGAAATTGGCTGAGATGAAATATCCATGAAGTGTGACTCCGGTGTTTCGGGCGTCAGACGAGAGGTAAACGGTTAACACTGCAATCAGCAAAAAAAAAAACATGTAGAAGGTGGAAGAATGCAAACTGACAGCGTACCTGCGCTGTGTCTTCACGATCGCTGTTGGCCTGGGAGAGAGCGGTGCTGGTCCCCTCCGCGCCAGCGAGTCACGGCTCTAGCTTCGGTTCTGGCCGGACCAGGGGATTAGTCAGCACTTACCGACTGATCGT